GGCGCCTTCTCCCATAGCAGTGCTGGAGTGGCTAGAGGAGCTGCCATTGCTTTAGCTGACTCCTCCAATGTAAGGCTCGTCTCTCGCTTTCCTCCTCCTCCACTCTGTCTCTCACCCCACATGCCACACGACCGGGGGTTATCTGTTAATTTCCCACTTAAACGTGATTTCTGCATAAGAAACAGGAGCACACACTGACGCAGCAGGCAAGTGCCCTTGCATAGGTTGTTTTTTTCTTCTGGCAGAAAGGATTAAATGGATGACAAGGCTTAAAGTGCACGATTTTAAGTAGGGAAAAGAGAGGTAATTCAAGGGAAAATACTGATTGTCCCATAAGCGTCTAAAGAGCAAAACAGACATCTTTGTGCAGGGCTACTCAACTTTGGAAGGCCTGGGAGTCACAATGATGCTCATAGCACATACCGAGGGCCGCAACTTAAGTGTGGTTGCGTATACATGAAACACTGTCTTTCCCACAGAGGGCCATGAATACAAAGAATAAGGCAAGACTATTCAACACACAAGCCCCATTTAAGTCAGTTCTGCTGATATTTTTAACTACTAAAGCATGCATCAACAGAAGACCCTTATATTGACTACATTTTTGTTTTAGCTCCCAGCCGCAGGCCCACAAGTTAAGCCCTGAATAAACACAAACTGCACCATGGGCTACAAACGGAACGCAGGTCCCATGTTGAGTAGCTCTATCTTAGTGCAAGAATCCAAAACCAAAGCTCAAGAGGCTAGGGCTGTTAAGTGTGTAATTTGTTAATTGTGTAGTTGACAAAATTTGTCAACTACATGATGGGTCAATAAGGGGTAGCATTACTTCCACTCTATCCCAGTTCTTGCTGGGTCCCATGTCCACCCCTGCTGCGGCTCTGCACTACAAGCATTTGTAATACAGAGCTGAAGCAAGGGTTGATGCTGGGTCCCAGCCTGAGCCAGTGTTCCTGGCTGCACGCCAGTTCTTAACTGCTCACACCAGCAGGGGATGATACCAGGTTCCAGACCAAGGCATTACTGAACCACACAATTTACTTGGGGAGGGGATAAGAAAGTGTTGCATGTAGTTGATAACATTAACTGCAAGCATCCTTACAAGAAACCAAGGCCCAGTTCAGTTCAGAAAATATTTGTTGTGTAAGAAAATCTTGTGTTATATTTACAAGGCAATGAGTGTACCTCAACCCAGGGAAAAATTCAACTGGTATGTCTGTGGTAGGTATTGTCGTACTTTGGTGGTCCGTAGTAGCAGCAGTTCAATGTTGTCTGGTCAGGGTTATCGGGGTCATCCCTGCATGCTCCTGCCAGGACCTCTACTCCCTTGGTGACAATAATCTTTCGGCTGCATGCGTAACACTCAGTGCTCCCTTTATTGAGAGTGTTAGACCCTGTGCACTTCGGTCAACACAGGAGATCTGAGAGCCCCCGGAAACGACAGATGCAAGTAAGGTTTGAAATCAATCAAGCAGGTTTATTGTCAAATGCCAAGGTCTAACAGTTGGTAGCAGAGATCCTACAATGCTACACCACTGCACCTTTGGCCTGCAGTTACAAGGTACCAACCCCAAGCAGGCCTATTGGCAGATAACAAATATTAACAGTGGTTAGTCAGAGTTAAGCCACTGTGCATTCTGTAAGTCTTAGGCAATGACACTTGCCGTTCAGGTGGCTAGCGTGCCCCCTCCCCAGCTCAGCCAGTGTGCTTCATTTGTGGTCTTTTTATAGGCATGTACAAACAACTTATATCATTTCTTTACATACCAGGTTACCACCCTCTGTTGCCTAGTTACCACCCCTCACCTTACATAAGGGGGGCTTATTTACTAGCCTGCATGCTGTCAATCTTGACCTGGTCCTGAACCTAGGTCAGTATGTGCATTAGTTTTTGGGGAGTCTTTGTATGAAGACAGTTCTTAAGATGTTCTGCTACTGCCATTTGGCTTTGTGAAAGGGTTGTGTTGAGGCCTACCCAGAATATGTCAAATGAGCACCAGTTTAATTGTAAGTGGAAAGGAAAGGCAGCACTCAGATACAGGAGAAAAACAAAATTTGATTGGTTGACCAACAATAACCCTGCTTTTAGGGAAGTAACTCACTCAGACAGCAGTATGCAACAAAGTGCAGATTACCCCAAATGGAGCAGACGAAAGTTTTTTGTAGGGGCAGAATGAGACAAAAATCTGTCAGCAATTGTCAGGCAAGTGGAGGAGTACCAAAATACTGAAACAGGGTATATAAGGTGGGCTGAAACAGACCAAGCGCAGACGGGTTGTGAATCCAAAAAGCCAGGTCTGATCAACCAGGGCTCCCTCCCCGGCGCTGAATCTCACTGCTGCACATAAGCGCCGAAAGGGGAACGAATACCGGTCGTAACTTGCAACGAAAAATCCAAAGAAAGGAAAAACAAAGAAAAGAATGCCTCCTGAATCTAAGCAATGCTTTTATCTTTCTTAACGTGAGTATTATATAATTGTTAACTCCATAAATTGTTTAAAGGTAAATCAGGAGGGTATATCTGTAGGAGAACTTGTTTTTTTACTGTACTGTTTTTCTACTTTCTTTGTATATTATATGGTCTTAAAAGAATCAAAAATAGTGAATTGATTTAAATGGAAAATTATAAAGTAAATAGAAAAAATAAAAAACTTTGACCCTAAAAAGAAGTATTCCTCTATCTGTGGTTTCAAATCCTTTAAAGAACCAAACCCAGTTACCAAAAAGCTTAGTCTGTACTTGGTGCCTCTGTGTCCTTCCCTGCTCTACCTACCTTACACAATTATCAATAGGGCCTCTTTCTTGGCTCCTGTGTTACTGAACCAAAGTCTTGCTCACTAGATTCCAGGCCTGTTGCTGTTTCCATGTTTATGCCTCTATTTAGGCCTGCTGACTGTTACTCACCTTCAATTCACTGGTTATCATATACACCATGAAAGTGTAGCTCATTTCTACACTATGAAAGTGCATTATGCAGTTGTAAAGTGCTGTAACTTAATGCCTGTTTTACTTTTGCAAACATTTTCCAGTACTGAATTTTGCACCTCATGATTGTCCTAACAGGTACTAGACCTACTTAACCCCTATTATGAATATTAATTCTGATCACACTTGCCTTATTAGTACTGCTGTGGGAACTTCCACCCTGCCCAGCAGTTCTGAGCTAGCAAGTTTCATTACACCATTTTTATATCTCAGGAAAAAAAACATAGGGAACACTACGTCTCCATATGCATAGCAGCATGTTTATAGCTTTGTTGACACTATAGTTTTTCTTGTATTGCACCCCAGAATCAATATAACAATGGCGGAACAGCTGCAAGTTATCCTATTAACCAGCTGGGAGCATGCAACTCCCACAAAGTATGGGACTTGCAACCTTTGTGCCAGTTGAATATATTTCCACAACTATTACTTTAGTCCTTCCTTCATACAGTATATATATTGTATATAAAGTGTTCTTAACCCTTTTTATTGTACATACTGTAATGTTTTAGTTTGAAGCATTTTTTACCCTTTTTGCTCAGTTCAGCTGCTGCTGCCACCTTAGAACTCATTTTTTGCCAAAGCTCACTCACTAGACTCTTGCCATTGATGCCGGACTATCAGGAGTGCCGGACTATTGGAGTTTTACTGTACTTACCTTTCTCATTTGCAAAGTACTTGTTCCATCAAAGCAAGAATTAAGCTTAATTCCTCACACCAGTATGATACACATTTCCAGTCCTATGACACATAAGCATAGTAAGGTATGAAGCTCACTGCACTGTATGTTTTACTTCAGCTTCTTCTGCACATGAGACATTTTAATTCAGATCAAGCTCTTTTAAATTAAGCTTAAGCCTGTCTGAATTAATAGCCTTGTGGAAGGCAGACTGAAGAGCAAGCTCGCGTGTAGTTGGTAGCTTTGACTATACACTTAGGAATCAAAAGGAAACTAGAGTTTGTATCATCTAGATCAGGGACATGTACAATGCAGAGGAAACAGTGAAAGTAGCCTGATGATTTTACCTGCCCATTGCATGTATTGGAAAAAATAGCTTTAAGTTCCTCAAAGCACACCTTGCCTAACACACCCTCTCCCAGCTACTCTGCCAGAGTTCATTTGGCACTCAGTTCACTGCCCCAAGTAGTTAACCTCACTGTAAATACATACAAAAATGCCAAATGAGGAGAAAGGATCAATAGTTCAAAGCATGTTTAAAGAGTCTTTTCCCTTCAATTACTTTTCCAAATTAGTCTAAATAATGAAATGTAACAGTTTCATATTAATGAAAGGGCTAGCTGACAGATCTGAGCATCCTCAGCTGAAAGGCAATGATCCATGGAGTTAAGACCATACATCTGTGGTTATGAGGTTGTTGCCCTTCCCACCCAGACAATTTTTAACTAAGTGAGGCTGAAGTAAAAAAGCTTGCAAGTAGATGTACTGTGGGAAAAGTTACAAGATTCATTAAATGAGCTACATCAGCTTAAGAGTCTTTTGAAAGTTAGTTGTTTGAGAAAGCTGCACTTTAAGTTAGTTTTTTAATTCAAGCCTAGCAAGAGGGATAAAGTAGGTACCATTTCAAGTTTACACTTCATGCAACATTTTATTGTAAAAATAATTTAAGATGAGATTTACAGTTTAGACCTTTACAAGTCTGAATGCATTGTACAAAGGTACTGGACTTTTAAATTAGTGTACCACTTTGAATGTCTGTTAACCATATTCATAACTTTCAAGTCTATCTGGTAAAACTATAGGTTTAATTGTTTAGTCACACAAGCCATTCAGTGAAGCCAACATTGTTAGTAAAATATGCAATTAAGCTACTACTAAAACTGGGGTGGGCAAAAGGCCATCAGCCTGCATCTGGCCTATCTAGCTCTTTGATCCAGCCCATGTAGAAGTTCCCAGTCCCGCCCCTTAACATGCTGCCTGAGAGCCCAGGATGTGGTGAACCCTTTCAACTGCTTCTATTTAGAGGGCTCACACTTTCTCCAGGTAACAGCAGCTGCAAGGAAGGTGAGAGCCCTTTAAATAGAAGCAGCTGAAAAGGCTTGTGCATCCCTGGCTCCCAGGCAATGTGCTAGCAGCAAGCCCTTTAAATAGGAGTTGAAAGGGCTCGCAGCTCTCCTACTAACATGATGTCTGGGAGCACAGGGAAGGCACAAGCTCTTTCAACTCCTGCTATTTAAAGGCCCCACCCCTTCCGCCTGAGGCCCTTTGACCACTTGAAAAAAAAATCTTCAAGTGCTTTCCTCCCTCCCCCCCAAAAAAAAAATTGCCCATCCCCGACTAAACTATGTTAGTTACCATACTGAAGAACACTTGCAATTTAAAAACAGGTATTTCAGGTAACTTAAGTCATGATTTAGCTTGATAGCCAAAGTTCTAAATAAGTGCAAATTGAACAAGTCTGCATGTACAAGATAAACATTAACCATTTAATGGTAGGCTACTTTTACAAATAAGTCTGATCTTTTATGCCCTATAACTGTGTACTGGAACATTGTCATTTATGTAGCCAGTTTATTTTGCTTCTGCCTGCAGAGACTTCTTCTCGTTAGCTGCTTTCTGCTTTTGCTGCATGATTTCAGAGTCTCTGTAAAAAAAAAAAAAAAAAAAAAAAAAAAAGGAGTTAGAATACTGCAAGCTATAGAAAGTATTCCTTCACCATTATTAGGCTTCATCTTACTGTCTACTGGTTATTGTATTGCTTAAAACAAAAATTAAATGGATCGGCATACAGTTCTAACAATATGGCTTTTCTGTAGCCACGTTTGAAGGCCTTTGCTAGGCCTGAACCAAAGCCACCTTCTTCAGTCAGAGCAGCAGCCATTAAATGGAAGGCCTGGAATCACTCACATTCCATCTATTTTGTATTAAAAAGTTTCACACCAGGCTGTAAGGAGGGGATTTTGCCCTGATAGCTCCCTGTTACCAAATGGGGGAAACAGATCTCAAGATGGGTAAAGAAAACTTAAGTAACCCCATTCTGCCTGGCAAGAAACTGCTTAGCAATAGACAATGTTGTGGAATCCTCATTCTATGATCATTGTCATTACAATTTCCTATTGTTTGTCTGTGTGATCTGTCTGGTTTGTAACTGTTGTATAATTAATTTTGCTAGGTGTAAATCAATTAAGGTGGTGGGGTATGATTGGTTAGATAATTATTGGTCAGTAAAGTTTTACTAAAATGATTGGTTAAGTTACAGCTATGCAAGACTCAGGTTTCAGTATATGAACTGGGGTCCAAGAAGGAGATAAGATCCCAAGTAACAGAAGCAGAAATAAGGAAGCAAAAGGCTGGAAGACGACCAAAGGGAGACAAGGAACTCCCAAGAAGAACTCACCTCCAAGACCCAGCCTAAGGTAAGAGCAGCCAGGACTCTCCTGCACAACCCAGACGTGCAGCAGCTAAGATCCAGAGAGACTGACCCTGCTTGGCCAACAGGGGGGAAGTCTTCCTATCTATCAGGAAGAGTGATAATGACACTGTGCTTAGCACGTGTATTCTGCTTGTTTGGGAATTGTCAATAAATAGAGGATAAGGAGATCACTGAGGCTCTTTCAGCAGCTGCAAAACCCACAGGAAGTTGTGCCCTGAGCCCTAGGAATTGGATAAGGGTGGGTGTGTAAATTAACAGGGTTCCACCTTGAGCCCTAGGAACTGAGTAAAGGTGTGTCCCTACAGTGTGGAAGGGTTAGAGAAATTTGTGTGGGTCACACAGTGGACCAATATCTAAGCTTAAATACTCATCAGGACAATAGACTGATGGCTCTGCAGAGCATTAGCCCACATACCAAGTCTATTTGCCTGCGTTTTATACACCTCTCTCTATGGAGAGATTTCCAGAGTAACACTGAAGTTCTAGTACGATACTGCTACAGCAGAAGGTACATACTATACATGAAATCAAGGACCAACATTTAAACCCTACCTGAAGTACTTATAATTTTGAGTTTGCCAATAATTGGCAGAAAACTGATCATCAAGACCAGGCACTGTCAATAGTTTTTCCATAGAGGTCACTCCCAAGATTCTGGAGAGTGGTTGCAGGCTGTACTCTTCCAGGATATTAATGGAGGGGGATATTAGTGGGGTCTGGAATGGAGGTTGGGTGCAAAAGGAAGGTTGGGTAAACAACTGGTATGCAGGAGGGAGACTGGGGTGTGGAAGGGAGTTTGGCAAAGGAGGCAGTTGTGATCTAGGGCAGGGGACTGGAATGCAGGATTTTGGTATGTGACCTAGCTAGGAGGGCCTTTTGGGGCAGGAGATGGGGGGATAGAAGGTTTGGTTATGGGGGGAGGAGAGCAGAGAGTTGGGGAAGGGAGAGGCTGGGGTGCCAGAGGCAGGCTATGGCTGAAGGTGGCTTGCTGCTCCACTCCAGGAATGAGGGGGAGAAGGTTTCCCACACTACCCTGCTCCCAGCAAAAGTTCTTGGTTCCTATTGTCGGGAAACAGATTGGCCAATGGCGCTAAGATTTTGCTGGGGGAGGGGAGGGGCCAGAAATAGCATGAGAAGTCTCCTTCCCTTCTCAGCCATGCAGAGCTGAGAACAGCTGGCTTTCTAAAACATGAACTGATCTAAGCGTTCTAGCAAAGGGATATGGTGGCTTGGCAGGCCACATCTGGCCCACTGGCAGCCTATTGCCCACCCTGATCAAGACCATTTAGTATGGATCTCAAAACACAATCCACATTTTATAGTCAGTTCATGTAATTGATTAAATAATCAAGCCCCAACAAATGATTTAAGGTCATAAACCCTGAATCTTGTTCTCAGTAAAATCAAGAACAAATGCTTATCTGGTTGTAACAAAAGGAAAGCATTTCTCATCTTGTTACCCTTTAAATCAAGAGGCTGTACCTCTAATTGGACAGGATGAGCCTAATTTTACTCTGAAGATAGCGATTTGCTGGACCAGTTTCAATTTGAAGCAGCTGGTATTTAATATTGCCTGGATCTTACTTTAGTACCAATTGTATTTACTGTGATGGTTCCCAAGAGATACTCAGGGGTGGGAGGCACCTCATCACTATCCACTGTTAGCATGAAGTAATCTTGTCTTTGCCTGACATGGATCACCTCCTGAAGTCAACAGCCTCTGGCAGCAACAGGCACACACAAATGCCTGAATACCTGGGAGTGTTTCCTGTAGCATCCATCCTCTGAATGTTACAAGATTACTAGTCTCCAAGTAACACTGCACACCAGCTCATAAGATTTGATTTAGAATCACCACTTTGCTTAACACTAAGACTAACTTTGTTTTCAATACAGGCAGTCCCTGAGTTACACGGATCTGACTTGTTGGATCCGCAGTTACAAACGGGGCTTCTCTCGCCCCGGAGGACTGGAGTAGCAGGACACCTAGATGCGCCGTTATCCCGCCGCCCGTGTCCTACGGGGTGAGAAAAGCTGCTCCGCATCTTCCTGGTCTGCTTGGGGGGA